GCCAAGGTAAATGAAAGAAAAAATCGGAAAAATATAGTTTTATTAAAAATAGAAATTAGAGCAATGAACGACATCCGATAATCGGCACAAATGTTGTGCAATTCTTATTGATTTCAAAAGTAATGAATGTGCGACACGGCGTATGAATCATGCAAATATGTTAAGATTAGAAAAAAACATTAATACAATTCAACCAATACTTTCATATACAAATTTTCTTACTAAAAATATCAAGAGACCAACTATTTAATTAAAGTGCCCAGTAAATTAGTTAAGCTTAATTCAGAACTTGCCACTTACTTACTTATCATTAATAAATATCTATTTTTTCTACATAGAGATGAACATGAAGAGGAAGCTGAGGCTGTATTGCGCGATAAGAGCTCGCAGCATATCAAACCCATTCTGGATGAACTTATAAAAACAGAGGAGACTTATGTGGAGAATTTGCGCATTGGTCTGGAGAATTATGGAAATATATTTGCACGAAAAGACCTGCCCATTGGATTGCGTGGCAAAAAATATGTGCTGCTTGGTAATATTGGTCAGATCTACGAATTCCATTTGGAGGAATTTCTACCAATGTTGCACGCGAACAGAAGAGACTTGAAGCGAATATTTGATGAATTTCAGCACTACATTGATGTAAGTCTTGAAGAGATTAAAAATAAAAGAGACAAAGCAAGTACAAAAAAATTGTACCAGCTTCTGTGAATTTTATAGCATTATATATATCCAGTTGAGGACCTGATGATCTTCGCTTTCCCTTAATACAAAAATTTCGGAAATCGGATTGGAAATGTAGGAGTTATTTGACATTTTAGGCTCGTGGGAGCGGTCTCGATGCTTTCAACCGCCCCTGCCACGCCCATTTAGTGATCTGATAGGTCCAAACCACCTACTAAAACACCGCCATGCTCTGCCCTTTCTGCTGATACCAAAAATTCCGAAATCCGTTCAGAAATGTAGGAGTTATAGGACATTTTATGCCCGGCGGCACCCTTTCTGCTGGTTTATGGGCGCCTGGTGCCTCAGATAGAATTTGCCATGGGGAAATCGGATGCCATCCTGAATGCAGGGTGACTCGTTTCCTCCTACTAATTTGCTACAAACATACAGAGAATGCACTGAGGACGTTTTAAGTCCTTTCATCGCCCATGCCACGCCCATTTGAGAACCGCCGTGATCCAAGACATCTAGGGTCACACCGCCTTGCCCTGCTCTTTCTCTTGATACCAACATTTCCGAAATCAGTTCGGAAATGTAGGAGTTATTTGACATTTTAGGCTCGTGGGAGCGGTCTCGACGTTTTCCTCCGCCCCTGCCACGCCCATTTCAGGATAAGATAGGTCCAAACCACCTACTAACACACCGCCATGCTCTGCCCTTTCTGCTGATACCAAAAATTCCGAAATCGGTTCAGAAATGTAGGAGTTATAGGACATTTTATGCCCGGCGGCACCCTTTCTGCTGGTTTATGGGCGCCTGGTGCCTCAGATAGAATTTGCCATGGGGAAAACGAGATTCGGATGCCATTCTGAATGCAGGGTGACTCTTATGTTTAGTTTTTAGTCCTTATAATTTTTAGTAGCATTTTTTTTGGTGCATGCAGGGTGACTCCTGCGCTTAATTATTCAGCCTTGATAATTTTTAAGTTGTATACTTACTATGTATATTTTATCGGCATTTTTTTTTTTTTATTTCGAGTGAAAATTTTCAAGTAGTTTTCGATAAAAAATAAAGCTTAATTTTCTAATAACTTTATTTTTATTTTTACAGAAAAATTTGTTCTATTGCTACGTCATATTTACAATGAACAAACAACGCTCGCTCAAATTATGTGATACCTATAAAAATTATTTTAAGGTGAGGATCAAGAGAGCATTCGTATAAAAAATACAATTTTTAAGGCAAATACATATTTAATTCAAAATCAATCCCTTTCAGCGCATACAAAACGAGTTGGATGACAAGTTGGGCATTAATAGCTTCCTGGTCCAGCCCATACAGCGAATGGCTCGATATCCGCTGCTGCTGCAACAATTTATCACGGTGAGTTTGAGGAGAGAACTGTAAGAAAAAAAAATAGTTCCGGTACATTAGATATAGGGTGTGAGTTCGGTATGAATAAATAAAAAATAATTTTTTAAGATAAAATATTTTTGTATAACAAATTGAACAAAAGATAGATTTGAATGGCCTCAAATTTAACTTTTTGACTCTTCATATGTCGACCATATTCTAGTCTCTTTTCCTCTCTCTGTTTCCTTTCAGACCCTCTTCAAGCACCGCGACTTCGAAATCAAGCCACTGCTTGAGTCCTGCTGTCGGCTGGAGAAGAAAATGCGCACACTGCTCACCACAACCAACGAATCGGAAGTAATTAACGACATAATCGAGTGCAATGAGGTTAGTATTTAGTTAGTCGATTTTCACTCGTATCTACAAATATCTTTTAACGCCCTTCTTTTTTTGCCTCCCCTTATTCCGCAATTTAGTTCAACGTCTTTCATCAGGGCAAATTCCGCAAGGTCAGCGA